TTTTTTCCCGCTATGTTTTCCCATAATGGTTCTCGCGTATCGTATCCGAACCGTTCGTTTGCGATTGGATATTATAATATTTTATCGTAACCGAGGGACGACACGGTTTCCGGCGTCGTCGGAAAGCCGGTTTTTTCTCTCTTCCTTTCTTCGACGCCGCGAGCATAAATTATTGTCTAGCAAGTCACCGCGACAATCGCGATGACGAGCGCACTTTCTTCCATGGGAGTGTTTCGCGCGACGCTATTAATTTATTATTATTATTATTATTATTATTGTTATATTATTTTCAACGGATCGATTAACCAGATAACATTATTTTAAAGTTTCGCGGTGAGAGACGAACGACGTGTCAAAGACTGCGCCGCGACGGGTATCGTCGATCGATGCGTTGTGATACAGGCGTAATCGTTTCCAACAGAGGATTTCTCCACATCCCTCCGCCGCCACACCCCGGAAACTGCACATACAAACGTCTCGCACGGGCCGTTGACAACTTTTCAATAACGAAAATAACAACAATTCCATCGGCGAACGTACCAGTTGCTGGCTGTAGTGTCTGATTTTACGAGTTTGTACGTTTGTATAAAGTGGGGGGAAATGTTGACCCATTTAGCCACACTGCTGTGGTGGGAATAATCGATTGTTGCAGATTCGAATTATGTACAGCGTACTGTGCGAAAATCATCGTTGAACGACAAGTTTTCACTTATCGAAAACGATGTATTTTTAAAAGAGATTGGATGCGGAATACAATTTTAAACCGCGCGCTTCAAGTCTCCGTAGTTCTCGCGACGAAATCTAATGGTTTTATACGACTTTGACTTGTCGTTCGCCGTGTGCGGAGACTTCGAAAACCGTACAGGGTTTAGAATCCGGTAGAAAACTCTTCGGGTCGTGCGATATTTTCCGAAAGCGGTTTTTAACGCGTTCGTTCGCGGGCGGTCCGCGAAAATCGATACCCGCAGCGGGCCTCTGCCACCGCCACCGCCCCCGCCCCCGAAAACGCCGCAGAGAATTTGCGGACAGTTCGAACGGACATTACGGTGGTAAACGCGACGCGCTATCCGTTATTATCGCGTAGCCGCGCCGCCGCAGCGGAATCGCGGTGTCGCAGTGTCCCGCGGAACGTCCGCACAAGACCTTTAAATCGCGGAAAAACCACGTCGGATTAGAAGGATAAACGATGCGGGGAGTGGACGAATCGAAAACGCCGCGTCGGCATTCGCCCTTTTAACGATACACAGGTACACGGAAAGTGGCACGAAGAGACCGCACGCGATAATGCGCGGTTATCGCGGTATTTCGGGGAGGCAACGGTCGGCTACGGTGAAATATCACGGCCGGCCCTTTATCATTAATTGTCCGTTGAAACTGTACGCATCTCTCGCCCATCGTTTTGCAAAAACGGTCCCGCTGCAATTCGCGGACTACCGCGGCGTAAGACGAGAGCATTTATCCAACCGCAAAGACTCGCGTCGTAAAACGCCGCAAAATTGTACCCGTTTCGAATTGAATTTGTATCGATTTGATCAATTTCGGCGTAATTTTGGACCGGTGAAAATCCTGAAACTCGACTAGCCGATACGTTCGCTATCCGGTGCTGTATAAAGGCACAAGAATGTGCAAATGCAGCTGCGACGGGGACGAACATTGAGTCTCACGTACACGCGGAGAAAATCGTAACCGTATTATAGTCCGTACTATTCATCCCCCCCTCATTAGCCGGCAGCCGTATACAGACAATATACGTTAAATTCCCCGTCTACGGTACCGCCTTACCGACTCCTCGCCTACAACAGTGGCTCGCGCACGTTCGAAGTATGTCCGTCTTTTTCGAAATTCGCCTTATTTATTTAAAACACGCGCCCGGAAAAACCGTCGGTGTCCGCCCTGAATTCGCGTAACGACACCGGATTCCCGGCCGCGTGTGATTTCAGGTACGTTTTGTCGCGTCACCCACGACAATTGTTCACGCCGCGAACCAAACGGTAAGTACGCACCGGCCGCTAATGCCCGACGGCCGTCACGGGGCGACACAATTTTAAAATATTAAAAACAATACGGTTGTTGATATTTCGATATTTTTTTAAACAATCGCTTGTTGTCGCTAGTGCGCACATTGTTGAAAAGGCAACACTATTACTACCGAGCTCGGCTCAGAACCGTTTTACGATACCAACGGTTCGTCGTGCGTACAGTATTATAAATTAAATTCCTCTCCTTGTCGTACCTTCTCGATTCTTCGCCTACACCCGTCACGCGATGTACGTGCGCGTCTTTTTATTTCCGACTTGAACCGGAGATAATCGAACGAATATTGTGCATAATATGTCATATAAGTAACTATGTATTATTATAAACTACGTGAAAATACAATTTTCTTTTTCATTTATGCCTTTACCTACTTGTTGTTTTTATCGTTTTTTCGATTCTGAGCGCAGCTTATGGTTTTATTGCGACGCGCGCGTTTGTTTCTTATTTTTTTTTTTTGTTTTTTTTTTGGGTGTCTGTCGAAAAACGAGCGGAGAGCTTATCCGTAGCATATTGGATCTAACCGATGCATCGGAAAGGTCATTTATAGGGTACCTACTGGGAGAAAACCGGAAAAGTCACTTTTTCTTTTTTTAACTGAGAAAAACGTGTTCTCGATATCAAAACGTAATCAAATTATTTCATTTATAAAAACATAAAAATTACACAATTACAATTTGTTTGTCAATGAAAATTGTGCGACACCGATATCGGCATTTCGGAAATGTAACAGTGTTCGTAATTATTCGGTTAAAAACCGTCGAGCTATTTATGAGGCGATTCAGCGGTGGTTTATTCGGTTTCTTGCGGATAAACGCGCGGGAAAAATCGCGCCGGAGATTTCGACAATTTTTACGCGAGACTAAAAAAAATAATAATAAACAAAAGTATACGTCGCGTGTACAGTAATCGTTTAATTTTTTTTTTTTCACATGGTTTTGACGGGAAAATCGTAAGACTCGCGGCGTTTCGAAACACGCGTTTAACCGCGGCCTTCGCTCGACACAGCGTGCGCCGTCAGCGACGGTTTACCGTGCGGACAGAAAAATCGAAACGGCTGTCCGTGCGCGACGCGATTCCCGCGGCTCTCTCGGATCGCCGCGTGTAAGCACGCGACGCACCCGCCGGGCGATATCGGAATTTTTTTATTTTTTTTTCGTATTCTCGTATTTAATTTTTTCGCTTGTACCGCCGGCGCGTACCGTCGGCGATCGGTAAAACGCGATGTTACACCGCGACCAGCGTAACGTTCGCGTTTACGTACACGTGCCGTACGCGCGCATGGACGGCAGCGACATCGTCGAATCAATCGCGACGCGAAATCATTGAAATCGCGTTTTGCGTATCGGTCGCGGAAAACGAAACGGAAAAACGCGCTTGTGATCTGCGCGGCGCCGACCCGGACGTCGGTACGGAAAACCGCGCGGTCGTCAAACGTCGCACGTCGGGCCGTGCGAAAAACACGCGTGATCCGGCGGCCACTTTAGACGAAACATTTTACGCGCGGTGTTCTGTAAACGAAATGTCGCCCGGTCCGCGTCAATGCCGTGCGTTTCGTTCGTTTTGCGCGATCGAAAGCGACCGTTTGTCAACGGTATGTTGCGCGTCGCACAACGGCCAAATGATCGGACACAGGCGTTCGACATTTTCCGCAACAGTATCTGTTTAATGTTTTTACCGATTCCATCGGTTCGCCCCCGTGTTCTTTGCCGGTTTTCCACGTTCGCCGGAAAGTGCCGGCGGGAATATCGGGAAAACGGCCGTTCAAAAGCACCCCGCCCGGAGAACGTGTTTTCCTTTCGGCAAACGCGCCGTGCCCGACTATAGCGGTAAGCCGTCCGGTAGACAATGTGTTTACGTAAGAAGAAAAATAAATAAATGAACACCGTTGTAAAACCGACACGCGCGAAAACAACAAATGCGCCGCGCGCGTAGTTTATGAAAATATCGCAGCGAAAATTATCGTGCGCTGCGACGGAATGCACATTTCGTTTCGCTCGGACGGCACGTAACTATTACCGTCGCATCACCGCGCGCGCACGTTGCGTTGTTCACCCAGTTATTCGGCGCTTTCCGTTTTTTTGTCCTCTCGCTTCCCTCTCCCCCACCCACCGCGCCATATGATTGCATACCACCGTCCGCGCGTTCAAAACGTCACACGGACTGTTTACAAAAAAAAACCTAAACGCCGGTTTCTCATCGAACGTTATGCAACGATACGCTTCGGGGAGTCGACGAAAAAAAAAACAAAACAAAACAATCGTAATAATTATAGCGGGTAATTTTTTTTTTTCCGTATTATTTTTACCGCGCAATTAACGTGTTCAAAACCTTGTCCGCGTAAATATACCTATAACTACTGTAACAATATAATGATAATAGCACGCAATACTACCTCGGTCGATACACCCGTTCAGATTTTTTGGACGGGAAAACCGCCGAAAACATAACTCTCCGAAACGTCCCCTCAAAAGTCATATTTTTTTTCCTATTCGATTCGGCGGTACTCGGAGAGTTCCGTTCCCGTTTCCCGGGTACAGGTCTCGTCGACCCCGAAAGGTCGTCGGTTAAACGTATTAAAACCACTCGCGTTTCACAAACAAAAAACAATTTTTAAAAAATACCAATAAACGAACAAACCGCAACCGTTGCCGTACGAATAAAATGTTCAACGCGACCCGATTCAAATCGGGGGGGGGAGGGATGGCGCTGAGAAATTTGCCGTTCGAGAACCGTCAAACGCCCGGAAACGGATACGAATACATTAGCCGTACTACTGTACTCGGCAAGCGCGCCCGTGGGACGAAACGCGAGTGCGTGCGGTTAAAAATCCTCGGGGGGGAGGGGAGAGAAACGGCCCCGTTTCCCCTCATCCACGGGCGCATTTACGAGTAGATAGAAAAAAAAACAACCGCAGATCCGATAACTTGTAATTTTATTGTAATATTAAATTTACACCGAGCGGTTTATTGACATTCGTCTTTCGGCGGCACGTAGTCTTTCGGCGGTTTGGTGCACCCGACGTACCCGACCACTTCGATGGGCGTCTCCGCGGACGAACCGCCCGGTTTGTCGTTCATGTTGGCCGCGTTGTACGCCTTGGCGCCGATCCTGGCCGCGTCCTCGGCGTGCTTCGGCTCGGGCTGTGCCCTGGCCGCCTCCTGGGCCGCCATCACCGCGCCGCTGTGCTTGCACGCCGCCTCGGCCATCATCAGGTCGTCGACCGCCGCCAGTAGTTTGTCCTCCTCGGCCATCGGGCCCAGCACGGCCCGTTCCACGCTCATGCCGTACAGCGCGGAGTTCAGCGTGCCGGGCGGCAAGTTCTGACACTTTCTGAACAGTATCGGGTCCGGCACGGTGCCCTTGTCGTTGGCGTCGGTGGCGCCGGCCGTCCGGCTCTCCAGCGCGGCCATCATCAGCGTGTCGAACCGTTTCAGCACCGTCTTGGACTTGTCCACGGTGCAGTCGGCCGTCTTGTCGTACGGCAGTGCGGGCGGCGGCGCGGGCTCGCGGCCGCCGCACGGCGCCGCGCCGCAATCTGCGTTGGCCGCTTCGGAATCGGGGCCGCAAGGCCGATGGTCTAGCATGCGTTCGTACAGCGTTTTCAGGGCGACCGACTCGTCGTCGTTCACCTCCATGCATTCGATCTTCGCGCACGGGCTGCAGTGGTCGGACGACATCTTTTCGGGCCGGCAACGGTTTTTTGGGTTTCCGTTAAAAAAATTAAAAATTTAAAAATACTGTTTCGAAAGAACTCGGGAGAATCGTCGGCGATTAAATTTTATGCAGAAATGGTGTATTTTAAAAACTGTAATTATGTAAAAAATGTTTATCGAATGCGCCGGTACGGTTTCGCCGCGTCGTCACGGCGATAAGAACAACGAAAATAACTCTCCTGTCGCAAAGAATTTCCCGCTAATCGATTGAAAACCAAAGACGTTCTTAATTAATTAAATATACGTTAAAAAGTGTTACGTTTAGACATATACATTTACGAATGTACACGTAGAAATTGTTTGTCTTTCGATTGCTTGATAATACAATCAACGGATCCGACGGGCCATTCAGCGGGGACGGTGACGGCGGCCGTCCGGACGTCGGGAGCAAAGCGGAGGTATTTTCAGGGCGTGCGCGTAGAACGCGGGAAAGACCGCGAGCGGGTCGGTGTGTCTGGGATACGTTGGCGCGGCGGAGCGTTCGCCGTGCGTTTCGGGACGCCGCGTCGTCCCGCACGATGCGCGAGCGCGGGCGCAGTCGCGGGCGACATTTACCGCGGTCGTGGCGACCAGCGAACGTTTCCAGCGCGCGTGGAAACACAACAGCGACTCGCGCCCGCACGGTGGTAATAATAATAATAATAATAACGACGACGATATGATGTACAGCTCGTGCGTACACACGCGTAGGTGTACGCGATGATAATAATAACGATGATGATGATAATAATAATAATAATAATAATAATAATATTGTAAAATAACGCGGACACGACGCGGCGTGCACCGTGTAATTTATTGCGCCGTCCCGTTATCGCGCGCGCGGGATACGTATATACGACCGCCGCCGCCGCGCCGGTCGGGAGGGGGGAAGGGAAGGAATGATAAAAAAAAAAAACGAGCGAAATCCTCGGAGGCGGCGGCGTCCAATAGCTCTCGGGAGAGTCGTTGCCGAGTTTTTAACGGCCGCGGCGTCGTCGCTGGCTCGCGCGAGCGCGCGGCTCGCCGGGGCTATGATTTACAATATTACCGTGTCGTTTCGTTATGTTCGCGCGAACCGAACCGCGGAAAACTGCGACAGCGTTTTCTAACCGTTATTGTTGAAGATTCCGCGTACACCTCTGGGGCGCGCTCCGCTACCGGACGGTCGGGCGGCAACGGGTTTCGGCCCGGCGCGGAACGGGGCCGTTGTGAAAAGGACCGATGCGTCTCCGTGCGGTCCGTTCGGTTCCCGTTTGAACTCACCACGTCATTATCGCGGCCGGTCGGGACCGTCGACTCGCCGGAGTAAAGTAGGCGCGGTTAACGATGCGCGGGAAACGGAGCGATCGAAGTCCGGAACACGCAATGGCTGTGGAATACATTAACACGCGGAATACAAAGAGACGAGGAACTTCGTATAGTCGTTCGAGTGCGGCCAACTTGCACGGTCACACACTCGAGCACGGACTGAATAAATTCCGATCGTTTGGCGAAACCATGCCGGGCGGGTGTAACGGGGATGAAAACGGGAATCTCCGCACAGACCGACCGATGGTGTTCTCGATGTTCGATGCGAGTTCGACTTTCCCGCCGTCTCTGCGAAAACGGATTCGCTTGATTTTCGGTTTTTTTTTTTTTTTTTCACTCTGGCGCAGTAGACGTTCGTTTTGCCGGAGGTCCGGTCTCGAGCATTATTGAGCATTTACCGGCAAACACTGTACGGCCGAACGCACCGTAATCGGTACCCGAGGTGTATCGCCACGAGTCTCTCGTTTTTCCCGTTTCTCTCGAGAGACCGGCGCGTTCCGTATCCCGGACAGATTTCCAGCGGACACGCTTCATCGTGTACAATAATAATAATAATAACGGTGTAGGCCCGCCCGACCGTGACTCTCGCGGTAACTCAATAAGGGTCGCTGCCGCCCGGCCGTGCGGGCGGACGGGCGCGCGCGTCTCCCGATCTAATTTCCCGGCCGAACGCGACGCGCCGGAGAGCGTACAATACCCGAGCGCCGCGCGCACCGCGTTATAAGCGTGTATTACGTACATAATAATAATAATAATATTACGATTATTATTGAGTTACGTTACGTGTGCGCGTACGTACTTCGGCGCGGACCGCGCAGCGTCGCGTACACACGCACTATATCGCGTACACGTATACCGTATGAAGTGTCGCGGCGGCGGCGGCAATTCGATTATAAATAATAATATCGCCGGGGGGCGCGACGTCCTCGCCGTACCGGGACGCGTTCGTGCCCGGCGTCGTCGCACCCCCCCCCACCCCTCCCCCCCGACGGGCTCTCCGAATATCGCGACCGTTCCGCGTGCTGCGATAGTAGTAAAACACGCGCCCGCGTATCCCCTGCGCCGGGGCCGACACGCCGTGCCCGCGTACCGATTGTAACGCGACCGCTTACCGCCGCTGGCCGCGTCCCCCGCGACGACCGCGCCGTCGTCGCGTTACGTCGGCGGCGGCGTTTGGCGTCGCGGCGTCGCGTAGCGCACGCTCGTACCCGTGAGAGGGGGGGGGGGCACCGCGTTTGCAGACCGTATCGGCGAGTTCGGTGGCCCGCGCGGCGTGCGTAAAAAACCCGCGACCCGTCGTGATTTTTCATCGGCTACGTATACAGGTATCAGGTTTAATACACGGGGCCGGTGGCGCCGAACCGGTGGCGTTCACGGTGCAGTGACGTTTCGCTGGGAGACGGGCCCGCCCGGGATAGGTGCGGAACCCGGGCCGCGACGGGGTTTACGTGCGCTCGGCGTATTGCTGATTCGGGTCCGTGTGGGATTGCGGGGCGAATCGTGGGGCGAAAAATACTGTTTGATTCGTATCGACACGGATCGAATTATTTATCGGTCGTCGAGTTACGTCCGCAGTCGCGCGGCCGTTACGGCAGCTTTTACGGCTCTCGGCGGCCGCGTGATTTTTTCCCGATGGGAAACGGCGGGAATCTCATATTTCTTTTTCTCTTTTTTTTTTTTTTTTCCATAGACCAAAATCAGATTATTTATTTTTATCCAGATAACGATATCGTTGCGCGTCTTTGGATCTCCGTCCGGACGGTTATTGTTCTAGGGAATAACTATCGCTCCAATCGCAACAATAACGATATTGTTGTCTACAGAAAACGCCGAGTCGACGATATTATAATACTTGGACGCCCAGTGCGCGAAACCGAGCGTACGGTCGGCAAAGCCAGGCGCGGTGCGCCGCGGTTATATTATAGCCGTAGCGCGGAAAGTTACCGATTTCGCGTACATAAATCACTTTAAACTCGAAGCTTAGCGCAGCGACTTACAGTCGAAAAGTTAGGTTCTGAGTTAACTGCCTATGTATTAATAATACGGTGACTGCATTTTGGCTATTAGTCGGACGGTATCGCCGGTAGGCGGGCCGCTGTTTTTGGAGCGGCGAAAGGGTGGACGCTGTACGGCACGCGCGCGTGTCAAACCGTCGCTCGCGGAAAGCGATTCTGAGCCGAGCGCCGTCAATGTTACCGATTGTACTGTCCGCTTTTCACCCGCGCCGGCAGTCTTTTTCTCTGTTGGCCGCGGCCAGATACGGTGAGTAAACCCCTATGTATTATTATAATATCACGTATCACGCGCGTGAGTATTTTATTTTTACAGTTTCTACAGGTATACCGGTATCGCTGTCTATTTTATTTTTCGTTAATATTATATCATTTTCAGTGCATTTTCAAGCGCGTATATAAATGTCGTTAAACGTTTTCAACAACGTTTATTGCGTTCATAACAATTTTTTTTTAAAGTCACAAGTCACGGGCCCCGGTCATTATATTACCTACATAAAAACTCATCGTATCATTATGGACGATAAGTACCTAACAGCCAGAAGAGTCGGGATTTAGCTTATTATCTACGGTTCTTATGTAGCGTTACATACGGGACATTATTAACGGGGCTGCTAGCATGAAACGACTGTTTTTTTTTTAAATATTCGATAAGAACGTTCGATAACGTTCTGAAAACTCGTCGTTCGACCGCGGTATATCTACGTATCCGGGATACAAATTTTATTATTATTGATGTCTGAAAAAAAAAACAAAAAAAAATTACGTTTTTAAGCGGCGAGACACTACAGAATGTACGCTACCGAACGCTGCGAGATAGTCAACGACGAGATACCGTGCGACCCCCGCGAAAAATAAATAATACGTGATTTTTATTTTTCATATTTCGGTATTGTGTTACGTTGTAATATTGTTATCACGATCGGGATAACTCGGCGGCGGATATGTCTTGATTTTGAGGAGAGGGCAAGACATGTCAGAGGGACTGCTGTTTACCGTGCTCACACACCCCCTCCCACCACATCATTAACGGTCGCGGTTTCGGTAAGACAGTTTTGGTACAACCGCAACGGTCGCCATGCTATGCGATCAAATAACAAAATAACTATTTGATTATAGAACGAATTTAATGGCGTGTACGTTATCGTGGTAAATTTATTAGTTTTTGTTTGATTAAAAACCTTAAAATGTATATTAACACAATTGTATTGATATCACCGCGTCTCCCTAAACATATACGAATCCGTAAAACGCATTGACCCGCCTCGTCGTTTACCCCGGCGGCACACGAAAATGATTAATTATTGTAACGTCCGGATGTACGATAATAATCCGTGTCTGGTCATTATTATTATTACCACAATAACACACACGAATTATTAATCTATAAAGTAAACATATCGTTATCGTATTAGTCATTATTATTTATTCGTGAACTTTGGTCTATGGACGTTTGATTTTTTTTTTTTTTTTTTATACGAACCCGATATTTTTTAGACGAATCTATTTTAAAATTAATTATCATGTTACATAATAATAATGTGACGACTACCTAGAGTTATGTAACTAAATTGGGATTCACTGTGATAAAGTAGTGCAGCTGCTGTTTTTATTTTTTATTGTTTTTTTCATTTTTTTCCGTCTCTGAACAAACTTGTCTACCCTAAGTCATGATCCGATCGCCAAGCGTAACTTTTCTATAAACGCAAATCGTTTCAACTGTAGTCGGAGAACTCGTGTCGCGTATTATCGTCGTTTCTTTGTAGTTTTTACACGCCAATCACGCAATACATTTAACCGTTTCCGTATTTTTCGATTTTTTTTTTCGCGTAATCCGCAGTTAAAAATTGATCCCGGAGACCCAACATTTTCACCGAACGCACAAAACCGTCTAATCGCCGACACTTTTTCGAAACTTCCTATAACGGATATTGTCGACGCGACCGTAGGAAACGGTCGAAATCGTCCGCGGCAGCGTGATATTGTGGTACGCGAATTTTTTTTATAATTACGTTCGGAACCGCTTCGGGAAAGGGGGTAGGGAAGTCGGGGTGGGGTAAGGAGTGTCGGTGAGCGAGAGGGACGGCGGAAACGACAATGTCGAAAAGCACTTGTGCCGCACGCGAGCCGTCCGGAGACGCGGATGCGCCGCCGCCGATAAAAAAAAAAAATCGTCTACGTTATTATTAATATGATATGATTGCGTCGTATATTTTTAGACGTTCGGACGGCGACGGCGCGAAATGCATTTTCGAGCGAACGCGCGCGCCTCCCCCTCGCCCCGACATTTCCCCAGCACCCCTCCACCCGCCGCTGCTCCGCGCGCGAACGCCGCGCATACGGTATCGTGATATTATCCGTATATACCGGGTGTACGCGAAGCCGTCGCCAGCCACCCCTCCCCCCACGACTCCCCTACAGTCGCGTATCTACGGCGATCCATTTACTTCCGGCCGTACGGAAATAGACCGGCGGTGGCAATTTTTGGCGCGCTGCAACATCTGGTCGCCGGCTGGACGCGTCTGACGTGCGTGCACCGGGCTCCTCCGCCGCCGCCGCGATCGTTCGCTGGGGGTCCGGGTCTATGAAACACTTACGCCCGCCGCCCACCGCCCGCCGCCGACGGTTTCGTAAAAATTAATTCAGATAATATCGTTCGTCCGTTTGGGGTTGTTTTCGTGGCGATTTTCGTAAAAAAAAAAAAAAAAAAATTCTCGTATTTCTCGAGTTAGCGGCCGCGCGACAATGCGATGCGTGTTATACATGCATGCGTGGGACGTTCGCGCGCACAGCCGTGATCAGGCGTGGGCAACGGGAGACAGCGGCTTCGCTGGGGGGGGGCGCCTTCAAAATCGCATAAAAATATTTACGGATATCTCGGACCGATCGAGTAGAGACGCGCGCGTATACGCAAAATGTGTGACGATGGCCTTTTTTTCGTTTTGTTCGTCGCGTTTTTTTTTTTTTTGTAGATGCAAATTCCAAAATACGGTCCAATGCAAGGCCCGCGCTGCTTTTGACGCGTTCGATATTTAAAAAAAAAAACAACTGTTTTTCCATGAAATTCACGATAAAGCTATGCCCTACGATATTCCTGTAAATGTTTTCTTTTCTTTTGAAAATTCAAAATATTAAAAAAGTTTATTTTATTTTTTTTTTTTTTTACAAAAAAACCTCATTATAAATAAGTGAGCATTTTGACACGAAACAGTCGAACGAAATTATTTTTCACGGAAAATAATATGGGCGATCTATTATCGATTTCGCCCACGACAACGTATGCGTTCCAAAATGATATCAGTACCGCAATGTTTACAACGGATACGATGCGTTTTCGTCACGACCTTATTTTCCAAACTGCCCTCCAAACGGTTTCATTTATTATTATTTATCCTTACAAAGCGCGTTACTACGCGCATCGATTTGACCATCGTCATTCGTTATCAATCCCTTGAAACGCGCGTTCTCATCTCCGTCCTATCTCACGTAGTAAACGGGCGCGAACAAAACGCGGCTTGGTTCGACCGTTGTAATATCTACGCGGTTATCTACACAGATCGGCGTGCGTTGCGTTATCGCTGTCAAAGTGGCGGTTTCGCGGACTATTAGCGCTGGTAGTCTCCGACCCGATTTCAATGCCGAAACGGTCCGCGCAATTTTGTTCAACCTATAGTGTTCGGGCGTTCAGTATTTGTTTATGGCCACAGCAATAGTGATTTACGCGCGAAATATGAAAAATCATCGTTTTCCCGGTGGCTTTACACTAAGTTGCTTGAAAATTGTCATGTTCTACGTTTTGAGTGCCCGTTGTACGTTGTATAGTTATTCGATATCGCGAATCCGTTCTCGTTTCCGCGTCCCCTGATCAACAACGGACGAATGTAGGTGCGCACTCGCGATTCAGTGCACCACGAGCGTTTACAATTGACGTGCGTTACGCGCGTTTTCAACGGTACGCAATCGGACAAACCGTTCGCGGACGTCCCGGACGATCGAATTGTTTCCGATAGCAGTCCGATAAGAAGCGAGCCCGACGCCGTCGTAAACACCGATCAAGCGTGTCGCAATAACCGTCGTCCGCTGTTTATTGTTATTGTTTCTTTTTTTTTTCTCTTTCCGTTACACCGCGTGTGCCCGGGGCGCGTGTCCGAGGTGACGCCGAGACGAAATAACGACCGTTTTCAATTCGTCCGTCCCGGCGGCGGCGGCGGCGCGTTTTATTAAAATCCGCGTGTCCCGTCGTCGACGCGAAACGTATTTTATTCGCGCGCGCGTAAACAAATAACGCCGCCGCCGAAGGACCCGGCTGCGGGACGCGGTCTCGCCGGTGGCCGTCCGCCTCGCACACCCAGCCGCCGACCGCCGTTTGCCGCGGGGAGAAAACGCGGCTGATTTACTTTTTGCGGTTTGCTGTCGACCGGAACGCCGTTTACCCGTCGCCGCCGGACGTTTATTCGTTTTAACGCTTTTATAACACGTACAGGGTACGTCTTGTGTACGCCGGGATCGTCGAACCGGCGCGAACCGACGGTAGGTAATGCGACCGTAATATTAACGCGGTTTTTTTGTTTTTTTTTTTTTATTTTTTATACGGCGTTAATCACACCGGTTCCCACGGCGGTACCGACGTTGGACGAGTGTAACGCCTGTTTCAATTACGTTTTATATCCGAATCGAAAAATGCGCGTCGCTCCGACACCGGCGTTGCGCGAAAACACCGTCGGGTGTTACTTGAATGCGACCGGACGAGAACGGCGGCCGAACGGAACAGAGGACTTTGGTCGTGATTACCGTGTCGCGTCGGAACCGTACGCATTTCAATCGGCCCCGGTCCGCGGCAATGATGGTCCGCCCGGTACGCACAGCGCTCTGGCATTATCGTTATTGTCGCGCGTACGAGAGCGTATTTTCGGCGGCGGAAACGACGGCGGCTAAACGTGATAATTATACGGTGGCACATTTGTTCGTTTGGTTTCTTTTACAAAATATCCGTCGTATAAAATCGCATCGGCTGCAGAACCGTTGCGTCGTGTGGCATATTATACCCGAAGATCTCGGATCGTATTAAAGACGACGCGTCTCTGAAAATTCGGGCGCAATAAACAGTTCCACCCCCCCCCCTCTACAACATTCAGTTTTCGTCAAGCGGTTTATCTGTTTGTTTGTTTGAGGAAAAGTAAACTTCGCGGTGTAAACATGTGTTCGAGTATTTTTGCCCGGCTAAAACAGTTCATTAAGCGCGTAAAACCGAACGGAAATTTGAAACCTAAAAAAAATTAAACTCCTTGCTCAAAAATAACCTGAATGTTTTGAAAATTTTAAACACGTATAAAAAAAGACATTATGGATATTCAGTGAAAATTTCAGATCTCTACGATTATTTTAAACCGAATTGCGAAAAAGGAAATCGAAAAATCACAGATAATCGTTATTGCGTACATACTCCCGCTTTTCCGACGTTTTTCTCGTGCAGAAATACACGAGGAAAATTGTCAAATTCTCATCCCCTAAAGTTGATATCGGCCACGAAAACAAACAAATAAATAAAAAACGGAGAAAATCTACGGCAAATCCGAACGCAGCGAGGAATGCATTTTACTTTAGTATATGTTTTTTCCCACGTCTAAATCGCTTTTCATTCGATTGTCAATTCGATTTTTTCTTACGTAAATTCTATATAGATGGTGCATAGAGGAAGTGATTTTTTTAAATTTTTCAAATAATTGTGATAATCCGTAGGAAAAACTGGTAAATTCCCCGCAATATCGGTTTTGTTTTTTCATTTTTCAACCCGTTAAAAATAATTGTGGAAACCCGAAATAATCACAGAACGCTCAAAATAATCGTCGGAAGACGCGATCAAATTTTCAATACA